GATTTGTAAATTTTGGAGACTTAAGTTGCATTTTTTTTTTTGTAAGATGTTTATTGGATTTGGAATATATATGTAATGAATGCAAAAAAACATTTAGATTAATAATTTTTTACTGTAACATTTCATTTTCAGTTGATAACCTAATTAAATATATTACATTGTTTATATATCATTCCACAAACATCAAAGCTTTACAGTAATTAACACATTAGTGCACACATATCAACACCATGCAGCCACACTAGATCTATTCATTATATAAAGGTGTCTAATAATCTTAATGCTGGGTTTAGGCTATGTTGTTGAAAGCAGGAAATATCTGTGTACATGTTTGCTTAAGCCAAGCCCACACTGTTCTTTGGGTGGAGAGTGTTGTTGCTGTCACTTCCCCTGTCTGTAATGCATGTGAGATTGGTTCTGTGTTTCAGCTTGCAACTGGTGGTTTGTCTACATTTTTCTTTGTTTAATCAAAATGTCTGTTTAGTCCATTTTCTTTGTGCTCATACTTGCCACTTAGTACTCTAATTTGATCAGTTTAGAAAAGACATAGTTTACAGAGGTAACATTTAGAGGTACTTTTTTGTGTAACATTTTATTATAAGCTGTATCTAGTAGGATCTATTTTATGATTTGATCTGCTTATTAAATTATATGAAAATTTTGTTATGAACATCATTTTTATATTATATACGGTAGTAATTTAAGATGCAAGACAGTAATATTGAAATTTTTAAAAATCATATTTGGAAATTCCTACGATTGCTGATTATTTTACTATGCAACTTCTAAAGCTGTGACCAAAATTGTTCTGAAAATGTTACTGAATAAAGAATTTCTAAAACGACAAAGAACCAATTGTTGCTGGTCTGTTTTATGATGCCAGTTTGTCTGGCTTCACTTCTGTGTGGTAACATGAAAACACCAAGCAACATTTTCTTAGCTAACAGAGCAAATTTAAAGAATTCTAATTTTTTTTTTTTTATTTGTGGAGGCACATGGTATTGATGTAGTAATTGTTGATGCATAACTGTTCATTGGCTTTATTGAAAAGTACTGTTGGAAATGTTGGCACTACTTTGGCAACCTTGTTTATTCCTTCAAATAAATTGGTCTTTTCTTCATGGCACCCCATTTATGAAAGCTGATAAAATAGAAGCTCATGTGCCAGTGTACAGCAAAGACTTACCCTACAACATCTGACACAAAGTTGACATTAGCTCACCATCTGTGCCTATGTAATTCTCATACTTCCATTTGTCAAAAATACAAGGCATTTCCCCTTAAAAGATTTTTAATTGTTTTGTGATGTTTTAACATTTAATCATTTTGTTATCATTGTTTCCCGCTCTCTGAGGCTGAGTGCATATCTCTTCTTAATTTATTGAAAATCTGATGCAACATGTGGATTATATCACAAATTATTTGAGCTATCTTTGTCCACAGTTCTTGACTAGTCTGATCTTCATGTATGTCCAGTATGAACATATTTCATAAATCAGGGTTACGATTATTGAATTTATTGGTGACTGTATTTGTATTCAAAATGGAATATCATACAAGTTATAAAAAAAAAAGATCTTACAATACTTGATGAAGTTGGGCTGTTCTTTCTGGGGTGGAACTCTATCCTCAACAATCTTTGTTGGTCTTAGGTGTGATGAACTAAATATTTAAAAAGAATTGATATGTTCAATGATAAATAGCTAGAATTTAAATTTTGTCAAGCCTGGAATGAGTACAAAGAAAGGCATTATTTCCGATATGAGGTTTGACCAGCTCCTGCCAATGGTATCTTTGTAGCCATGCTACTGAGGTTGAGGTAACGACAAGATTTCTCTAGTATTTAAGTTTCTGTTATCCAGAATAGAAACAAAAAAGGAAAGCATTGGTCTTATGTGGCTCTTTAGGTTGAGAACCCTTGATTAAAAAATTTGGATACTGGAAAAAAGAAAATCAAGGAATTTCTAGAAATAAATCTCAAAACATCAAGACCTGTTGTCCAGTATGCTTAATTGTGTCATTTCTATTTATATCACATGAATATAATATTTTACTGTTCACGATTTTTCAACTATTTTTTTTTTAAATCAGTTAATTTTTGTTATAGAGATATTGCTTTCAGTAATCATGTGGCAGGCAACTGGTATGGAATCAGAAAGCTTTACCAATCAGGAGTTTCTTTTGATATGTGTTTTCTTGAGTGGATTACTTGAGTCATGCTGTTCTTGATGCCATCAAGCTCCAGCTCAAAAAAATTACTACGGCTTATGGAACCAAATTTTTTGTTAACCTCTATTAGGACGTAGGAACATTTTTGTTCAAAATACAGATGCAAATTTGTCACACAAAAAATTCAATGAATTTGTCAGAAAATCATTTTAATGTGTAGGTCATTTATGGTAAATTTCTTAGTTACAACTGAAAAGTCAAAAGAAGTCTAATAAACTTATGTATTTAATAACTTAATAATTGCTTTTGAGTCTTATTTTAAAAGTTGTTCGTTTTTTTTTTTTTTTTTTTTTTTTGGGGGGGGG